GAACTCGACAAGAACTTCATCAGTGTAGGGCTTCATCCATTGCACAGGCCCAACACGACTCTGAAAGAAAAGCTCAAAGAAGTTGGGAATAACAATTATTATTTTATGAGTGAGCCGAAAATTGGTTCTAAAACCAACCTGGTAGGCAAGGGTATGATCATTTGCAATTCCCCTGGCTATCAGCTCCTGCATAATTAAGTAGATACATTCCTCCATTTGGTCTTTGTAGGGATCTCCGGCATCCTCGACACAACTAACAGGCACCCCATGGGCACTAAAGAATATCATGACCTACCAGGTTCCTCGGCAAATAAGGGCCACAATTCTACATCACAAATTCTAATTCATGACTGCATAGAAGATTACATACTAGTCTATACAGTAAGCAAACAAACCTCTTCAGTCTCGGCAAATTTCTCCAACTCTTCCTTAATCAAGTCAGCCATGGAGCTGATATAACCTCGCCGTTGGTACCAAGAGAGGATAATAGAAACAGGTAGTCCTAATAAATATGCATCTTTCCTGAAGCATAACTTGTATTTAAGCCATTTACAAAGGGGAACATTGATGGATGATGTCGAGTGGAGATATGATACAAATGATCAAAGCCAACCTGAAAATATCCTGAAGAACTCTGGTGCTTGACCCAGTTGTGGAAATGGAGAACTGAGGATATAGTGGTAGCACAACAAGCTTTGTTATCCTGTCCTGCTTAATCTGCTGCGCATAATAAATGCTCTCATAGGTATAAATTCTGAATGCAATTTGAAGATAACTGTCCAACGCTATAAGGAGAATTCCGAAATATAATGAGGTATGAAGTTATTCAAAAGCTTAGAAGGCTTCTTTCTTTTCTACTCATTTGCTATATCCTCGTGTATGGATTTGATCAACTTCATGATAACTCTCGATATCACCTAAAGCGAAACAGCAAGAGCTCACTCTATGGATAATTGATATAGTATCACAATACAAAGTTCAAAACTCGTGCAAAATTGTTTGGTTACCAAGAGACCAACCTGCTCGATTGCTCCCTCTGTGAACAGATACCAATATCACATTCCAACATATACATTTGCGTTTACGTTCTTTGCCTCCAAAGCCATTCGAATAGCATTCGCCTGCAACAAATTATTTAATCTATAAATACACCAACCAGTTCCCACAAAGCACAATTTATCCATACAAAAGTATACTTGTTCACCAACACAACACTAGCTCAGAACAAAGCAACAAGCCAATTTCTACAATCAAGGGATTGGGTTTTACCTGTTCGCTGGTTATTTTACGCAAAGGTGAGCCACCACCTATGGCAGCATACCCTTCTTTACTTTTGGGTGCCCGAAGAACCAATATTAACTTCACCAACAGTCGTTGAAATCCTGCATACAGAAACAATATCAGCACCTCTATGCCATTGAAACTCAGAACCAACAAATGGTCATATGAAATACACGAAAGTAGAGCAAGTAAACCAACATACAGGATCTGCAAACAAGTTATACCGAAAAGGCTGAACATCTTGAAGAGTCTCTGGCCCTACAAGATTCAAAAGAAGAACCCCAATTTTCTCATCAATGTCATGCGCGTGATGAGCCACATTTTCATCCGACGTGCAAACACCAACACCGCAATTTGCTTGTGAATTCATGTTTCTCGCCTGAATTAGATCATCACTGATAAAGTGTCCCTTGAGACCGGCATGATTTTGGGTATTCCAGCAAGAATTTGAGATCACAGACTTTAGATGAAGGTTTATCAGCACTATTGAATCCATTAGAGGAAAGACGTGCGAAAGACGCTACGTGTCCGCCTCGAGGAACCGAGCTGAAAAGAAAAAGGAAAGCAAGAGAAAGAAATCAACAAATCCAAGAATTTTTTTTTCATCTTTGATCCACAAAAACAAAAACTCAGAACAATCTAGACAAATTATTAGAATCTAAAAGCTCATAAAGCACTAACCTTTCAATAAAAGCTTAAAGAAAACAAAAGGATCACCTCAGAAATCTAACATCAGAATTGGAGAGACTGGAACCAGGAAGTTTGGTGTGTGAAAGAACTCCGGATAATGATGCTGCCACCATGATTTTGATATGAATAATCGTTTTCTAATTGGACTAGGAATAAAAGAAGTTGGAATCTGGGTTTTAGGTGAATTTGCGAGAGATTTTCTATGGGGTTAGTTAAGAAGAAAATGGCGAAAATTGTTTATGAAAAATTGGAAAATCAAAGGAAAACTGCGTTGGCTCCCAAAGATTAAACGTGGTACTAATGCATTTTTTCATTTACAAAGTTCAAGAGGGTCCTTAAACCTCCATAAATGCTTCCCTTTGAGAATTAAGGCGGTAATATATGAATATAAAATTAACATAATGTTAAAATGAATCGAATTTGGAATAATAAAGTCGTGTTAATGTTTATTTATTTATTTATTTTTTAAATTGTTTATTTTAAATTTATTCTTATATCAGTATTTTCTGAAATATTTGTATTTGTTCATTTAACATTCACGAACATATTCATTTAGGGTGCGTTTGGTTCATAGAATGTAAGATTACCAGTGGGAATAAAAGATTACCGGGGAATGTTGTATTTTGTGTTTGGTTGGTTTAACAGGAATGTAAGATTACCGTGTTTGGTTAAAGTAATAAAAGATTATTGGAATGTATATTTGACCAATTGTCCTTATTATATATATTTTTTTAACAAGTTAGAAAATATTTATATATTTTCTTTAAAAAATTTAAATTTATAAAATTTATATAATTTTTTTATAAAATTGAAAATATAAAAAAGTTTAATGAAATGGTAAAATTTTATTTTAACCCCTGAACTTCATATAAAATTTTAATTATATATTTTTATTATTCAATAACAGAATAAAGATATTTTTGAAAGAAATTTTTTTAAGGGCATTTTAGTCCAAAACACCGGTAATCCAACAATACCTAAAGAAATGTTGGTAATGACATTCCCGGTAATATACCTCAAAAAATCCACTATTGGCAATGTAAGATTACCGGGAATTACATTCTCGGCCAACCAAACGGGGGAATGTGTATTCCATTCCCATGGGAATCTCATATTCTCCCGACCAAACACACCCTTAAGGTTTGTTTGATGGTAGGCGAGTCTTTTATTTGCAAACCAAGAAAATTTGTCTTAATTTTCTTAGACTTTATAATTTTAAACTCTAAAATTTATCTTATATGTGATTTACTCTGTATCTTCACTTATATTTAAAATGCAAAAAAAAAAGGAAAAGGAGAATCGAGTAAACGAGTTTGTTTGTGACAATAGACGAATCAAAAATACCTCAATTCATGTTCGTTTTTTTATTAAATGAATATAAAAAATTATTCATGCTCATTTATTTAACTTAATAAACGAATATTATATAAAAAGATCACAAATAGTTTATCGAACGTTTTATTTATTTACACTCATAATAATAATATATTTAACTTTTAATTTTTATATTTTATTTTAATCTTTAGACTTTTAACTAATATTTCAATATTTATTTATTTATTATTTATTTTTCTTTTCTTTTCGCCATCTCCCTCAGCCGTTCCTCCACTATCTTTATATTTCTATTATTTCTCTTCGATCTTTTCAGTATGTTTAAGCAGCTTTTCAGTGTGTTTAGCTTAACGAGAGTTGGTAAGCAGTTTCATATCGTTTAAGTAATATTTTATGTTTGAGTCTTTGTGTACAAAAAAAAATCTCAGTTGAGAGACTCATCCACCAAAATTAGGTGTACGACCCGAGTCGGTCCAAATTAATCAAATCAAAACCTTAAAACTGAAGGGTAACAAAAAAAATTAAAACATAAATGTTATGTTTCGTTAGGTAAGTATTAAAACAAAAACAATTTACTTATTAAATTAGTAATAAAAAATTTATGACGATATAAAGAAAAATTAACCCAAATTTTAATTTAAAATATGTGTAAAAATTTAAATAAAAACAAAACCAATTTAAAATAAGTAAAATATTTAATTCTTAGCTTTCAAATTAAATCATAAAAATAATGAAAAATTATCTAACTGAATTAGTTTATCACTAATCAGTTCACTAAAATTAGTGAAAAGTAAATTTATTATTTCAATAGCTACCTATGAATTGATGACCATTAATCACACATTAAATGATAAATAAATGTATTTAAAATCAATTAATTATTTTAGGTCCTAATATAAGGGTATAGGACCAAGACTTTTACTATAATCAAAGTAAATTATACCTAAATAATGAGAAATTATTCGATAAACTTTTTTGTCACATTGATATATCTAATTAATAATTTATGTCAAATAAAATTTGGTATTTATATATTATTAAAAAATTTCGACTCGCTAATCATTATTAACGTTCATTCTAACTCACTTTTTACTCCTTTCAATCATCGGGTTAATCATTATTAACGTCCGTCGACTATAAGATATTGTTTATTTAGTTTATCGATTATTAAAAAATTATAAAATGATTACTTAGTTGTAGAATGGTGTTTTGTTGAGTCTCTTGATTATTAAAAGTTATAAAATGGTCATATAATTTTTCATTATGTTTCAAACTCATACTTTTTCATTAAAAATCGACGGTTTTTAGGTTGGACGATAACATGATGATTAGGATATAGTAGTCGAGATTCTGTGATCAAGTTTTATCACATCACAGTCAATAGATTAACATTTAACTCAAAATATGTTTATTTTTTAACGAAAAATAATGATAATGAATAATCTGAAACCCATTTTATACTTTTAATAGTCAAGAGACTCAACAAAATAATATTTTATATTTGATTATAATCTGTGTGTCACATCTCTGAGGAGAAAATAAAGGTAACTAAAAGTAGTCTATCTTAAATATAGAACGAACGTAGGTTTGAATCCCCGTCTATTTAGGTAATTACACACAGTGTTTTTAGGGTTTTTGGAGGAACCACCATATAAAGCAAGTTTTGGCGTCAGAAGCCAACATTCTGTCTGCTCTGCAGCTCAATCCCTCGCCTCATCTTCTTATCTTATAGATTCATAAGCAATTCATGAGATTGCTTCACATACAAATAATCTTCCATCGAGGTAAAATACGCCAGGCTTTATTATTTTTCGTAATCTTATCATTTGGTGTCGTCTAAGTTAATGATTGTTAGACACTGTAGATCCTTCTCCTTCACTTGTTTCACAATTAAAATCGAAACCCGTTTTTCTAAGTTGATTCACAATGCAATTGTACCATGTTTAGGCTGTGTTTTAGTGTTTGAAAATTGTAAAAGAGTGATGTGTAGATTGGCTCCATTATCAGAGTCATCAGCAGGTGCCGATCCATGGCGATCTGACTGCCGCATGGAACCAATATTAAGCCCAAACGGTTGAAGACCCATTAAAATTCACTGTTGTTTCATGACACAATATCCCGTTTATATTTTGTTAATTAATTGCCTTTTTTCTCTCTCAAATTACGAGATTTGATTGAGTGTTTAAAGCATGGATTCAAATTGGTTGCAATTATGGACATAGTTGATACTATTAAGATGATTGTGGGTTTCGCGATCATACAATAATTGTCGTTGAAGGAAACCACTACCACTTTATAACGGCCGCTATCATAGTCGTGGATCGCTATTTAAATCCTTGGTTTAGACTTAAAAGAGGCATAGAGTCAGACACGGGTGTTTGCTGCTTTGCAATAGCAATCCACCTTTTGCATTGTGCCTAAAGTATAGCTACTTACACGATTGGAGGGATCCTTTGATTTCTAAAATGGTTTCCTTCAAATTTAATGTAGCTAAATCGAGGTATTAAAAGTTATAAATATGTAATATTTATGTATTATATTCATTTGGTTACTTGTTTCATGTTATAGGTATTGAAGACTTTGTTATTTACAACATTGTTATCTGTCTTCAAAAACCATCCCTTCCTTGGTTAGAGTTTTTCGTGTGATATATTGATTTATGCACATAGCAAGGAGGGATGGTTTTTGAAGCTTTAGATGCCAATGACACAGTGGATAAGCAAGATGTGAAGCTTCATGATGTGATATGGAGTTGGTGCATATGTCAAGGTATGGTTTCTAAAGTTGAAATATTGTTGACTCCGTTATAAAATGAAAAGATGAGTGACAACACCTTGTTTTAGGTTGTAAATTTAAGGTAAACTATGCATTTAGTACCTAGACTATTAGTTTTGATATGTTTTAGTATTTAACTTTCAATCTTTTTAAAACTTAACCTTAAATTTTGAATAGGGGTACTAAAATGAAATAAAAACTAAAGTTTAGAACGGTGTTACTAAAATAAAATAAAAATTAAATTTTAAGTATGATTTTGAAAAAAAATTGAAAGCTTGTACTAAAACAGAACAAAACGAATAGTTTAGATACTAAACAAGTAATTTACCCTAAATATAACTACGAGTGATACACGAAAGAAACAAATAAACTAGTGCTTTTGAATTCAATTTTATGATTATTACGCGCTTAACCTTAATCCTACTCAGAGATTTTGGAAGGACTAATTGTCAATAATATGGTACATCTGTGAAAATTTCGCTACTAAATATGCAATTAACGTTGTCATTTTCTTTTTCCAAGCCTATCAAGGCATCATGCAAATAATCTTCCATCAAGGTAAAATACTACTTGCTTCATTATCTTTCATAATGCAATTGCACCGAGTTTAGTCCGTGTTTCAGTTTCTGAAAATAGGAAAAGGCTGTTGTGCATGTCGGCTCCATTGTCAGAGTCAACAGCGGGTGCCTATCCTATCCATGGCAACCCGACTGCCGCTTGGAGCCAATATTAAACCAAACGGTTGAAGACCCATGAAATTCACTGTTGTTTCATGACACAATAACCCCTTTATATTGTTGTTAAATAATTGTCTTTATTTCGAGGTCAAAGATTTGATGGTCTTCACTGTGGTTTTGCAGTAGCAATATACCCTTTGCATTGTGCCTAAAGCACAGCTACTTTGACTATTGGAGGGATCCTTTGGTTTCACAATGATTTCCTTAACGTTTAAAGCAGCTAAATCTTGTCTTGTTCTTCACATATCTCAGTTTCTTCAAATATTTGAATCTATCAGTACAGGAAACTAGAAGTTTTGGCTCCCTCCCATGGTGCTCATGCTTCTGCTTCACCAAGAGCAAGAAGAATAACAGAATAAGTGAAGGTGAAACAAAGAATTGAAGGCCACTTTGATTTGAGTATATGATCAGATTTCTGTTTGAAGTTGTTCAAATTGTGGAAATCGTAAATCTTTTATAAATTGTTTAATGATCACTTTGGCTGTTTAATAGCAAAGAGATGTTTAGAGGAATGATAAGTTACTTGGCATTAATCAAAGATCTTTATTCCAAATACAGGTGTGATATTTAAATATCTTTGTATCTTGGGTAAATTATGCATTTGCCATCTAAATTATCAATTTTAATCTGATTTAATACCTAAACTTTTAAATTTTTCAATAATTAAAGTTTTATTTTTGTACCATGTTTAAAATTTAACATTAAATTTAAGAAAATAATGAAATTTTATATAGGTATTGACACATATTATAATTGGTAGTTTAGGTATTAATTGCGTTAAAAACAAGACGGTTAAAATCTAAAAAATTGGTATGATTTTAAAAAAAAAAATTAAAAGTCTAGTACTAAATCCATAGTTCCCTTGCATCTTTTAACGACAAAGCATCGAGTAAGAAAAAATGGAAATTTAACTGAAGTTAATACCAGAAGCTAAAGTTATACTACTTGGGCTGAGAATATGTATGTGTGGAATTATGAAAAGAATACTTTAAGCAGTCCATTCGATTGAATTTTTTTAAAATTTAGTCCTTCAAATGAATTGATTTTGTAAATACCTTCAAATTTAAAGTACCAAAATGGATTCCATGTAGAAAAATCAAGACTTATAATACAACAATCAGACCTCGAAACCCTAGAAAAATCAGAAATTCGGAAGATTCGAATTAACACAAAATAGCATTATCAAAAACAACAGTCACAATCAAATGGGCAAAGCGGTGTGTTCCCAGCATCAGATTTACCAATACCCAATTCTTCTTCGGTGTAGATTGTAAAACCATCGGCTGTTTTCCTTCGAGGCCGAGAAGAAGATTCACTGAAACCTTCATCCCTGTTTTCTTTACTCTCTGTGCTCCTTTTCTTCTTCGACGATTTGGGTTTAGATTTCTCTTCGCCGTTTGGTTTCTCCGTGGATTTTGGCTCGGTTTTCTTCCTTTTCATGCCTGCAAAAATCTCGTCGATTTCGTTACCAGCCTTATTAGGAGCCGGAGACTGCTTCTTATTCTTCTTCTCTGGGACCGGTTCTTGTTTGTTTTCTGGAATTTCCGAAGGCGTAGTAGAAGACCTCTTCTTCTTCGCCATTAGCTGAACTTGCAACCAAACAAAAACAAAATAAAATTCAAAGCGGGAAAAGATGAATTAAATCCGAAAAAGAAAACACAAGATTAAAAGGAAAGCAAATTGGAATATATACATTATAAAGGAAAACTAATAAGAATGTTGCGTCAGAGAACAAAATTATCAGCACCAGTAATCTGACAGGGATAACTGTGATAATATTAATTTCTCATCATTCACAACACTCTTTAGAAACAATCTTTGCAAAATAAAGGGATTAAACAACGAAAAACAATTCCCTTATATGGGAATACCTTACTATCAATCTAATGTTAACTCTGAAGGAAGATCTAAGAGAATATTAAGAACTGGGATTTCTGCAAAAGAAGAACGTATTGGCTTAAGAGAATGAGGGTGATGCTTAGATGTTGCTTCTATGTGAAACCCTAACTATAGAAGATTATATATATACTCCACTTGTTTTGGAATTGGATTTGGACCGAACTTTTTCTTATTATTTGGGCTATTTTGGGTCAGGATATTGGCCCATTTAAATTTATCTGATTATTATATTCTTCGCTCGTTATCTGATTGGATTTAAAGAGATTTCATTCGATTTAAAATTTGATTCGATTTTTATAGTGAAAATCTTTACTCGATCTAACAAATATATATATATATATATATATATATATTGTAAAATAAGTACCTAATTGAAATATATATAGAGAGAGAGAATAGTATTATTACAATTATCTCTAAATATATAATAAATAATCACATTCTTGTTTTTTTTTGTCAAATATTTTTCATCTTAAACTCCCATCCAATTTTATCTTCCGAAAAACTCAATTTTATGACTCAAATCCGAATTTATAAAATGAACCCAATCATATTGTTTCGAGTCAAAACTCATTAAATCCAAGTCTCATACCTATCACCAATATAGATTATATCATTAAGTTTAATTTATACTCTTCAAACATTTGAATTTGGCACGAATTCAATAAGTTCAGTGGATAAAGAATTTGTTATTGTCCCTTAAAGTTTCGGTTTCGAGTACCACGTATGTAAAGGTATCAACGCTAATTATTTATTTAGAAAATTTCTTTAAATGTGAAATGGAAGTATCCTCTTTAAACAATTTTAATCCCGTTGAATTGAAAAAAGACGTCAAGAAAATTGATTACCTTAACAAATATTTTCTTTTTCTTTTTACCAATTAGTGCATCAACTATTTGCATTAAGAAATGTAGGACGAACTAGTATTCCCTCAGTTTTGGGTTTACAGGGTCATCGTAGTTGGAATCCAGTGACAGATGCAAAGTATCATGTATACTCTAAAATTTGAATTTTTTATATTAATTATTCATTTTACTATTATTATCTATCCTAAAATTTTATTTATCTCCATTTTATGCAAATATTTTAATGATTAATATATGATTCTCAAAATATATTTTTAGATCCGTCATTATTGGAATCGGTGACAATGTATGGTTTACCATATCTTCCACCGATGGCATTCTTTGCAAACCCAATCGCACAATCGGCTAGCCTTCGTCGATTCTGCCACCAATGAGGGTCACAGCTCCAGCAGTCATCTATAAGGTTGCCAGTGCTACAAGAGGCATGCCTAAGGTTCCTTCTAGTAACATTAATGGCCCTCCCAAAATGAAAAAAAAAAACAATATAACAACTTTAGGACACGACAATTTTATTAGATAAAATTAATTTAATAAAAACAAATATAATATTTTAATTAATGTGTCATATATCATATCATAATTATACACACGTAACATTTAATCCTTTATCACATCGTTATTTATATACACATGATATATGTCACATCATAATTTTAGACATGTCATACAATTATTTATGCACACGCTACAACGCCATATTAGTGGCAAACCTCGTTTGTTGGTCAATCAACGATTTTCATTCGAAAAGGGGTTATTTTGATCCAAAATAAAACGTTGAGAGCTAAAGTACTTAAAAAATTAAGGTTAAGAGATAGTTTTTGACATTATGCTATATATTTTTAATCAGACATCACCTTCTAGACCCTTTTGGGATATATGAATGTCGAAGACCCTCTAATGCTGTGGATTCCACCCAAATAGAGGTATATTAGTCTACCATGCTCTAAAAGAGGCACAACATAGAAAACCTTATTCCACCCTTTTAAATCTTAGTTGTCCATTTTATAGTGTCTTAACCATTAGATGTAGAAGGTCTTAGTCTATAAATAAATATCATCTCTATTATTTAAGAGAAAATAACCTCAGTGACCAAAAATCTCAGATAATATACGATTTTGACCAATTTTTTTGGATTTACGAAAATGACCAACAAAATCGCAATGCGATCTCTAATTCGCATTGCGATCTCCACTATCGCAAATTCGCGTTGCATTTCCAATAGTATTTCCAATACTATGTGGGATTTGAGCATTACCAACACTTGTTCCCAATACTATGTGGGATTGAGCCTTAAATAGTGATATTATTTTTGAATGTTTTGCATAAAATTGCAATAATCGCGATTGATTGTAGATTGACTTTTAATTATGACATATTTAATCGTATAATACTAATGCAATTGGTTGATGATTCAGTTGTTTTAAGGTGCATGATTATTAATTGTTTCCTGAATAATCACATTGTATTGGAAACAAGTGTTGGTAATGCTCAATCTCACATAGTATTGGAAACACTATTGGGAATGGTATTTAAGGCTTGGCTTTCCCACTTCCTTGTTAAGTGATAGAGAACAATGGGGACTCTCGCGCGCCGCCGTCGCCGTCGTCCGTCTCGTCTCGTCTCGGGTCGTGGTCGTGGTCGTACGTGTCTTCGACACGTCCGCGCGGATACTATCTTTTTAGAGAAAATTCTTAAGAAACAAAATCTTTTTTTTAACTATCACAACGAATTTTCGCAACGAATTTGAAAAATCGCAACGACAACTGTAGACTATCGCAACGAATTTGTAAACTATCGCAACAACAACTGTAGACTATCGCAACGAATTTGGAAAATCGCAACGACAACTGTAGACTATCGCAACGCGAATTTGCGATAGTGGAGATCGCAATGCGAATTAGAGATCGCATTACGATTTTGTTGGTCATTTTCGCAAATCCAAAAAAATTAGTCAAAATCGTATATTATCTAATATTTTTGGTCACTGAGGTTATTTTCTCATTATTTAATATTGGTAGATGCGCGAGTACATTATATATCTTGTATGGGGAGGTTTTTTCTATCTACCTATGCCTTAATATATTTATTTTAATTTATATTTATATTTATAATTTTTTAATGAAAAAGAAGTCAGAAGTCGTTACAAAGAAACTAGTGTCTTAAGTATGTACGATACTTTTCTACAAGTTCAATTTCTAATGCATGCTCTAGATATGTTTGGGAAAAAGTGTTTACAAAATTAAGGTTAAAGTAACTATCAATCCAACGTTAAAAGTTAATTTTTGACATTATGCTATATATTTTTATCCTTCTATACCCTTTTCAGACTAAATGAATGTTGAAGACCCTGTGATTGTGTTGATTCCACCCAAATAGAGGTAGATTAATCTACAATGCTCTAGAAGATGCACAACATATAGAATTTTATTCTACCTTTTCAAATACTAGTTGTCTATTTTGTAGTGTCTCAACCATTGGATTTAAGAGGTCTTAGTATATAAATAAAAATTATCCCTATTATTTAATAGTGTTAGATGAGCGAATACATCATGTACCGTGTTTGGGGAGGTTTTTTTTTTCTTTCTACCTATGTATTAATATATTTATTTTGATTTTTATTTATTTTTGTATTTTTTTAATGAAAAAGAATTCAGATGCCCGATACAAAGAAACTAGTGTCCTAAGTATGGAGGATATTTTTCTACAAGTTAAAGTTTTAATTCGCGCTCTAGATACGCTTAGGAAAAAGTTAGAAAATGATAAATATTTATTTAAATATATGATTAATTTCTTATTTGATACATGATTATATTAAAAGTAATTTTAAGACTATTTATTTATGTGTATATACAAAATGTTGATAAATCAATAATAAAAACAATTTATCAAGAACTATTTATATGTTATGTGTAATTTGATTTAAGTACTATGTACTATCGACGGATGCTTCGATTGCGGAAAGCGATACAAGTACAGAGCCGAGCTCCAAGATCCAAGATGCTAATGTTAATCTCATAGATTCTTTTACGTCTGTGTTCCGACCAATTTTAAAAATTCATGAAGCAAAAACACAAATTATAATAAAAGGGATATATTATGCTACGGCAAAAATGAGAGTTATGAGAAATGGATATATTTATATCAAGACGGACAGATGGGGAGCCTTTTAGTTCTTTAAGAATAAAACTTTACGCATACGTAGTAAAAATAAGAAACACCTAAAATATATGACTCATCACGTAAATGCAATGCCACTGGAGTTAAGGGTGAGCATTTAATCAAGTTTGAGTCGAATTAAAACATTTAGAGTTATTCGAGTTGACGAATCGTATTTTACAATCCGAATTTAACTTAAAATTTTTTACACTCGAATCAAGTTTAAGAAATTCAAGTTGAATTATTCGAGTTTCTATATTAATTTTATTATAATTATTTGTAGTATTATGACAAAGATTTATTCTAATTTTTCGATTTTTTTAACCATATAATATATATATATATATATATATATATTATTTTCATGTTATAATGTTATTTAATATATCAAATACAACCTAAAATCATAAAATATATTCATAATATTATGTTTCAAAGAAAATATTTTGAGAGAAAAATATTGATTAAAGTATAAAGGAGTAAAGAAAAATTAATGAGAAAAAAGAATTTATAAACAATTGTCGTCAAAAGACCAAATTGAGTAAAATGCAAAGTTAAGATACTAAATAAAAAAGAGAGTGCATTTTTAGTTTAAAAAAGTAAGAACTGAAAATACATAAGTATTCTATTGTGGTTTATTCAAATTTGGTAAAAAAAAAACATACTTACAATAAAGTATGAATGGCAGAAATACGAAAGTTGTGAAAAATTGAGATACTAAATTAAAAAAATAGGAAAATTGTTATTAAAAAATGAATTGAAAGTACAAAAGTATTCTAAGATGATTTAGGAAAATGTGATTCAAATTTCGTAAAAAATAATTTAAAATGAAAGAAAAATTGAAAAATAATGAAACCAAATATTAAATCATAAAACAATCAAAATACTTAGATTTTTCGTTTTTTCGAGTAACTAAAAATTTCAAATTTTCAACTCGAACTCGAAAACCAAATTGGTCTTTAAGTTGATTTGAATAACTCGAAATTGGAAAAAAAAAAACGATTTTTCGAGTCTTGTTCACTCCTAACTAGCGTAAATCCAACACTTCTCAGTTGTGG